ACGGTGGACCCGTGCCCAAGGCAGAGCTCGAACGATGGACCGCCAAGGTTGCCAAATTCCACAAAGCCGCTGGTCACCCATCCAACAAGAACCTGGGACGTATCGTGCAAGAAGCTGGTCATCCTCAATGGAAGATTGATGTGGCCAAGCGATACCACTGTCCAGCATGTGCCAGTCTGAAACAAGGAGGTACAAGTTCGGGCCAGATACCGCCGGCAGCGACGCATCAGCAGTACGAAGCCTGGGAAGCTGTGGGTGTCGATGCTGGTGAGTGGGTGCCACCTGGAAGCAAGAAGAAGGTGAAGTTCATCCTCATGGTAGACCTGGCTACAAAACTGAGAGTGATACAGCCCATCATGATCTACGACCTGTTGCAGATGAAGAACGAGTCGGGCAGCGATTTGATCAAGGCCGTGTCTGAACGCTGGCTGTCGACCTTCCCAAAACCGCGAATCCTTGTGCTGGACTCGGCAAAGCCATACGTTTCGGAGCAAGTGCATGCCTTTGCATCGGCCATCAATGTGGGACTGCACTACACGGCCGAGAAAGAGAGCTGGGCGCATGGAGCAGTGGAAGCCTCAGTGCAAGATGTCAAATCTACAGCTTCAGCCATCTACCTTGAGAACATGGATCAGGATCTTGAGGTGACGCTCCACTTGGCTGTCGCCGCGCTGAACTCCACCGAGTACACTGCTGGCTTCTCCGCGTTCCAGTGGGCCTATGGCAGGAACTACAACATCACCGATGAGGATGTGCGCACGTTCCAACATGTGGACCCCAAGATCGACTTCGCCCAACTTGTTGTGGCCCGCCAGCGAGCAGAAGAAGTGGCACGCCAGACACGTGCCCGACGAGTTCTATCGAAGCTTGGCAACACCTCTGTGCGGCAACCATTGCGGAACTACGAGCCCCTGGATTTGGTGAAAGTCTGGAGACGAGTCTGGCCGCAAGAACAATGCAAGGGACCTCGTGGCGGCTACAAAAAGTCCGGGAGACCTCACTGGATTGGGCCAGGACGTGTGGTGTTCTCTGAAGTACTACCTCACCAAAAGGAATCTGGAGGAAAACGACACATTCTCTGGGTGTTGGTTGGAAATCAACTCCTACGATGCTCGGCGCACTCGGTGAGGCCAGTGACGGAGGTGGAGCGGTTTCAGTATGAGACCTCTGGGGCCGAGAATCCATCGATGTGGAAATCCCTGGCGGACATTGTGCCGAAGCGTGAGTACTATGACGTGGTGGATGAGGAGCCCGGAGAGAATGAGGTGGAGATGCCACGACTTCCGGAAGCACCCGATGATACGACGACGGTCGTGCCTATTCGCAGGGCCCGACGAAAGGTCACCTTCCAACCGGGTGACTACGTGGCGAAACCCGTGGGAGAGCGACTGATGGTGGACGATGGTGAAGATGAGGAACCAACAACGACAGCCACGACAACTTCCTCAAGTTCCACGAAACATGTTGGTGATGTGAATGATTACGAACTGCCGGAACCGAAGAGAGCTCGTTCGACAACAGATAATGGCGGTTCTGATGCAGCTGGTGAAAATTGGGTGGAACAGTTAATGCTGGAGGCGAAGCAAGAGGAGGAAATGGACCTCTTCAATGTGATGGACAATGTGGAGGAGTTCCTCAGAATTGAGTTCGACCTGGAGAACCACATGAGCAATCGACAGAAGAAAATGATGGAAAGGAACCCGGTGGCCTTCATGGTGAAGAAAATGAGGGACTGCGAGGTGAACATCAGCCGTCTACCCGAACATGAGCGACCGTTGTTCTCGAGGGCAAAGGCAAAGGAGGTGGATTCGTTCTTGAAGAATGAGGCCGTGAGGAAGTGCTTGGATGATGAGGAGATCAAGAAGGCCTACGAAAGCAGTCGCATCGTCAAGGCGCGCTGGGTGTTGACATGGAAACTGGTGCCACCTGAGGACCGACAGGAGGCCCTTGATGATTCCCAGAAGAACTTGGCGACGTTGCACACGAAGGATGGCGCTCGAAAGGCCAAAGCTCGCATCGTACTACTAGGGTTCCAGCATCCAAGCCTGCTGGATCCTTCCCTCAAGACTGCGAGCCCTGTGCAGTCGAGTCTTGGTCGCAATCTCCTGTACACCATGGCGGCGCACCATCAGTGGGAACTTGAAGGGCTGGACTTGGCTACAGCCTTTCTGCAGACGCAACCCACAGAAGCAGATCAGGAGCTGTGGACGACAGGAGTGGAAGAGCTTCGTCAAGCACTAGATGTTGGTGCGGAAGGGATTATGAGAATCTTTCGGAACATCTACGGCAGCACGACGGCACCTCGTGGACTGTGGCTAGCTCTGCATAAGCGATTGACAGAGCTTGGAGCGCAACCGGTACTTGGAGAGCGATGCTTGTGGGTTTGGTTGTCAAAGACCGACATGGATGAGGACCACCCGAAAGTGATTGGCAGTATGGGTGGTCATGTGGATGATTTTCATCGAATTGGCGATGGAACTTCGGCCGAGTGGTGTGAAATCAAAGAGAAGATCAACAATGCCTACAAGTGGGGAATGACAAAGAAGAACTCCTACCGCCATGCTGGAACTGATGTAACGACGGTCAAGGACAAGAATGGCTTCAACAAGATCGTGGTGGATCAGTCGTATTACATCGAATCGATTCAGGACATCGAGATTGAGCCTGATCGTCTTCGACAAAATGGTCCTCTAGAACGACGAGAAGTGGAGGCCTGCCGAACCACGCTGGGAGCACTCCAGTGGGTGGCCATACAAACCCAACCTCAGCTAACAGCCCGCTGCAACCTTCTTCTCACAGAAGTGGTGACGTCCGGAACCTTGGAGACCGCGCGGGAGATACAGATGATGGTGGGAGAAGTCAGACAGAATCCAGTAAAGCTGGAGTTCAAGAAATTTCCCCAGGCCAAGCACTGGACGGAGGTAGTCTTCATCTCCATGGGCGACCAGGCGCACAACAACCGGCCGAAGGGTGATTCAACCGGTGGCTTAGTGACGTTGGCTGCAGGACCTGAATGTCTGAGTGGCCAGGTGTGCGAGATGTCACTGCTGGCATGGCGCAGTTGGAAGGTGAAAAGGAAGGCGATTGGATCGAACGACGCCGAGGTACAGTCGATCTTGGAGGCGGAAGATCATAACTTCCGGACGAGACTGTTATGGTCGGAGCTTCATGGGGCCGGAGGACTACAACATCGCCGTGAACTTCGTCGCGATTTGGTGGAGCTCACGGAGAAGCAAGTCCTGAAGGTGAAGGGAGTGTTATGCACGGACTCCCGAGGAGGTTACGACGCGGTGGAGCTGAATGAGTCGCCGTTGCTTGGGCTGAGCAACATGCGCTCGGCATTGCAGGCGTTCCAGCTTCGGGACAACCTAAGCAGAGCTGGGTGTGAACTTCGTTGGCTGGCATCGGACTACGACCTCGCTGATGCCTTGACAAAGAAAAGAATGGACAGCCGCGTCGGCCTTCTCAAGTTCTTGAGGACTGGTGTGTGGAGCATCAAGTTCGACCCCGACTTCACAGCCGCCAAGAAAGGGAAGAAGATAGGTAAGAGTGCTGTAGATGCTGTAGACAAGCATTTGTTTGGGGACCCGAATGATCACTGGCTGTCTGCATCTGACTCCTTTTTGGGGTGGTGCAACATGTATAGCTTCAATCAGATGCATACCCCATCTCCATATGCTGCCAGTGGCTTGAGGGGCCCCTCGTAGCTACCTGACTTTGCCACTGAGCCATCGGACCGAGCTTGCGTGCTCGTTGGAAAAGGTGTGAGAGCGTGGAGCTCTTGGTGCACTGAAGTGTGGAGACCCTGTTGAGCCCGATACGCCCCTACCATTGCAGCACCCGCTGCATAAACCCAAAGCCCCTAAGCCCCCAGACCCCTCAGCCCCAAACCCACGCCCTGCGATTCAAGTCCTAAACCCTCAACTCACAACCTCCCCAGCCTCGTAAACCCCCACAAGCCCCTAAGATCCAACCCCCTCCGACCGGAACAGGACATCAAGACCAACGTCTTCAGCGGCATGCGCGCCGAAGGCCTGAGCTGCCGCGAGGAGGCGCAAGAAGCAACGAAGCACCCCCAGATAGAAAAGCATCAACAAATCCCTATTTTGCCCTTAACGTTGCACTGTGTTTTTCTTTTTGGGGTGGTTCTTAAGCAATTGAAAATCGTCCGAGTCGAGACCTCGAAAACCACGACTTGCCGTGCCCGTGCCCTGGGTAGATTCAGGCCGGGTGAGCAGCCTTCCCAGCATGCGAAGTTTCGGTCCTTCATTCAAAAAGCCCCCCAACGTGAACGACCAGCACGCGAAATCTCGGATCTCCATACAAGAACCTCCAAACTGAGCAAAACCGGAGGGCGGAGGAGGGGGGGGGGGGGGTTGCGGCGGCAAGGGAATTCAGGGTGGGGAAACATAGTTTGTTCTGGGCAACCTCTGACGCCCATGGGCCGGCGCGGCGGTGCATGTTCCTGCCATTCATTCTTTGTTCTTGTTTTTCTTGGTAGCCCAGTGGTACCCTTTACCCTTTTTTTGTTCAGGGTTTCCCAATATTTCCATAACCAACCCCCAAAAGGGTGCCCTTATCATAAATGGTTACTGGGCTACCATGTTTTGGTCTTTGTAGCTAATGAAGGGTCTTGACATTCACGGTATGTCCGAAGCTCGGGCCCCAAAGGCTTTCTACAACGGTTTTCAATGTAGCGCCATTTAGGATGTAGGGTTCTACAGTATAAATTCATCTCTCTATGTATAAACATAAGCATATATATATATATGTATGTATGTGTGTGTGCATATATCGGGAGGGTCCCATCCGATCTTAAAGCGAGGAATTTTCTCGTCCCCCCCGAGAGTTGGAGCCGGTAGGTCTCACCGAAAGCCCACAGCCCAAAGCCCCAGGGTTTAGGGTTTAGGGTTTAGGGTTTAGGGTCTAGGGTTTAGGGTTTAGGGTTTAGGGTTTCGGGTTTAGGGTTTAGGACCCCAAAAGCCGCGCCCTGCGAGGAGATGAAGCACCTCGTGCTCTTGGTGATGCGGCAAGATCATAAGCCGCTTCTCTTGCGTTTAAGGGGTTTAGGGTTTAGGGTTTAGGGTTTAGGGTTTATAAGCCGCTTCTCTCGCGTTTAAGGGGTCTTGGGGAAGAATGCAGGCCCAATGGGGTGCAAGGGCAGTAGTCTGAGCCCAGATCTGGCGCCCTCCGAGAACTGAAAGCCCCCCGAGAAGCCCTACGCCAGGCTCGAAGACTGGATGACCCAGACGCTGGAGAATCGCCAGGTGCTGGGTTTCTACGGTTTCTTCCTCTTCCCCAATGCTCCCCCTCCTTCCACCTATTCCCCCCCCCCCCCCCTTTGCAACTAACTTTTTTGGGTGGTTTTGTGCGGGGTCTGGGGTGGCTTTTGGGGTGTCAGGGGTTTAGGGTTTTAGGAAGGTAGGGCCCGCTTGGGAATCCTCCGGTGGGGTTTTTACGTGCCGGGTGGATTCAAAGCTTGCAGGGGTTGAGTTCGGAGCCGCTTGATAATTTCAGTGTTTGGGGTTTAAGGAGTTTGTGGAAATCGTTTCTTTTGGCTGAACCCGAGCCCAAAACACCCAGAGACAGGACTCTGTCGGCTCATCTAAACCATTCAACCTCAGCCCTTCGATTCAAGAGATGAGGGCCTCCCAATCTCCCAGGGGCCTTTCGACTTCGTCTCAACAAACCCCCAAAGTTAGACTCGCCTGCGGGGGTTTCCGAAAGCAGGACCTCATTGGGGTCCTTCTTCTAAGGGGATCCTACTCTTTGGGGTCTAGAAACCCCCGTATTCTCGATACCCCCCAGAAACAGACATGAGCACGATCAGAAAGCAGGGGCCCTAAAGGTCAAGACGAGGCTGGAGCGCAAGCAGGGGTGGGGATGCACGACTCGGGGCGGGCGCCTGCACGAGCGCGCCGCCTCAATGAGACGCTCTATAGGCCTTATAAACCCTAAGCCCCAAGCCCTAAGCCCTAAACCATCCTAAACCCCAAACCATCCTAACCCTAAACCCCAGACCCCAAATCCTATACCATCCCAACCCCTAAACCCTAAACACTATGGTACTTCCTCACCAATTATAACTGCACTTCTAACCCCTTAAGTGCCCTAATATGGTTAGAAGTACAGTCTTAAGTACAGATATCAGCCTAAAACCCTAAACCCTAAACCACCCTAAACCCTAAACCCTAAACCCTAAACCCTTAGAAGTACAGTTATAATTGGCTCATAAGTACCATGAACCTCCGAGTGGGGCAGGAGCTGCTGAAGGCGAGGGGGTACAGCGTGGCGACTCTGAAGGCCAGGGGTGTATTCCGGGTTTAGGGTTTAGGGTTTGGGGTTTAGGGTTTAGGGTTTGGGGTTTAGGGTTTTAGGGTTTAGGGTTTAGGATGGGCTTAGCTAGGGGTTTTGGGTTTCAAGGCTTTAATTTGGGGGGGAAGAGACTCGGCTAGGTACGAGCATAAGAAACCCCAAGCCATGATTTCTTTCCTAGCCAAGTCGGGAACCTTCGGCACACATCCCAAGTTTCAACCCATCAACTTGCATCACGAAACCTTTGTTCCGTCCTTAACAGGGATTCCAACCACCCCTATTAAGACAAGGGGGAACATCCCAACCTAAAACAACACCCTAAGCCAAAGCTTCCCAAGAACCTGTTACAACCACCTCAAATCCCCTGACGCACAAAGCCCCTAAACCCACAGCCCCTAAACCCCTAAACATTTAGCCCTAAGCCTACCCCAAACCCCCAAACCCTAACACCCTAAACCCTCGCTTCAGGACATACAGCCTACCCTTAGGCAGGCTGAGGAGTACCCCATGTCCTAGCATTTCGCGCCCTCAATACTAGGCGCTGCCTTCCTTGAATAGCGCCGCCCTCAGAAGTAATGTAGGGGTCGGAAAAGTGACTAATGGTATTCCCTTTAGGGTTTCTTTATAAATATACTACGATAACTCCCAAGACCCTAGTCTACTTATTAAGGCTCCTATATTAGGAGTTGGCCTGAGTGCAACTCTTTGAAGGTCGAAGCACCCTAAACTTCAGGACGACAAGAAGGCAGACAAGAAGAAGAAGGATGAGAAGGAGGCAGGGCCCCGGAAACCTGAATCTGGTTTAGGGTTCAGGGTTCAGGGTTCAGGGTTCAGGGTTTAGGGTTTAGGGTTTAGGGTTTAGGGTTTAGGGTTCGGGTCATTTCTCTGCATAAATCCTGGCCCCTTCTTGGGGGAGTCCCTGTTCTCCTGCCAACCTCAGGTTGAGGTATAGGTACACTTCTGGGCTACTCAGTAGTATAGAGTGTAAGGGTTATAGGGTTTAGGGACCCGAGTTCAGAGTGGTTCCGCGGTTTTTCCAGAGATTAGGGCCCAGGGCCCTCAAGTCTTCAGAATCATGTCGGGGCTGATCCACCACTGGGTAGCAGGGTTTCGGGTTTAGGGTTTTGGGTTTAGGGTTTAGGGTGAAATTTGAAGCTATGGGGCTGTAGTTTCCCTTATTGAAGTAGCCAGCCCCGTCACTAAACTGCCAAGTCTGAAAACCGTGCCTGTCTTGACCTTAGACAATACAGTTGCAGATTCCTTGGTGTGCTTGGGGGTTAGGGGACTTAGGGTTCAGGGTTTAGGGTTTAGGGTTTAAAGGGGCGCAGGGCTGAGGGCGGCCATGGCTTGGGGGACCTGAGCCCGAGGACAAGAAGGAGGAGAAGAAGGAGGTCACCCTGAAGCTACCCAAGCCAAAGGACGACGCGCGCGCCAAGTGGCGCCTGAGCTGCCAGGTGCTGTCTTAGGGTTTAGGGTTTAGGGTGTAGGGTTTAGGGTTTAGGGTCTTAGGTTTGCCGGGATAGTGATTTATTTTTTCAGGAGCTGCAAGACATTTTGATAAAGAAAAGTCCACGCTCTTTGCTGCATATCCATATTGTGGCGGCTTAGGGTGGGGGTCGGACGAACATCTGAGGATCACCCACTGCAATCGGAATGTGCTGAAAGACTCGATGGTCAGCACGGCTTCTTTGGAGGAACTGGGGGGGCACATGGGCAAAGGCTCTGAAAAAGCACATGGCGACATGTACGAGAGCGTTGGTGTCGGCAACATGAGACCCTAATCCCGTGCCTGATGTCCTCAGGAGGAGACCATCAAGACCTTTGCGATGCGGCCTGCCTTGGAGTGGGCAATGCTGAAGCTACACGGCGACGAAACGTCGCTGGCAACTTGACTCGATGTATGCCTGGGCAGCAGCTCCCTTGCTGTCACCCATGCCTTGTTGCCCGGCGGGTAGGCCTTGAAGGGATGTTCTACATTTTCCCTTAATGGGGTTAAGAGCATCATACTCAGGAATATTATTTCAGAGGGTTTTAGGGGTCATGCTAGCCCTAAACCTAAACCCTAAACCCTAAACCCTAAACCCTAGACCCTAGACCCTAAACCCTAAACCCTAAACCCTAACTGCCGGGTTTGACTAAACAGTCGCTATCTCTGCTTTCAGAGTTCGGGATTCTGGGTCCAGCTCCCGTCTGCGCACCTCCTGGCGTAGTTCTACAGCCGAAGCTTGGGATGTTACCCCAGATACCAACAGCAACAGGGGGTTTAGGGTATAGGGTTTAGGGTTTAGGGTTTAGGGTTTAGGGTTTAGGGTTTAGGGTTTAGGGATAAAACAGTACCCCCTACCATAAACCCCATTATACTGGGAACGGGAGTAGGCCCTTCTTTCCTTTCTTTAGGGTTGGGGTTCCCTTACAATCCCGATCAAAACAAAAAGCGTACCCCTTTTTATTCCTAGGAGACTCCCGGGTCTAGTATACTCATCCCGAGCAGAAGATCCCGGCTACAGGATGAAATGTTCGTGCTGCTCTACCGGCTCTACACAGGCCGGGGTGTGGCGCAGACGCGAAGCCGCAGGTTTTTAGGGCGTGTGCACGAGTGTGGGGTTCGTGGTGAGTCGAGTAGCCTTTCAAATCTTACAACTCTTCAACTCAGACTCATATGCGTGCAAAAGCCCTCGTCCCCAACAACTAGGTGGGTCGAGGCCTAAGTTGTGTGTAGTGCAGGGTCCAGTACCGGCAAAGAGAGACGAGATTGAGCAGCAAAACTCTGAATTTTGCTTGGAAGATTTGGTATCTACATATATATATATAGATATAGAAATACATGAAAAATTAAATAAATAAATCAAGAAAATAAGCTGCAGTGCAGCAAGCCTTGAACTCAAGCACGATGACTCGCTTGATCGCGAGTCATTGGGCACAGGGGGCTCCCCTCCTCAGGTTCGAGGGCCCCGCCCGAAGTAGGGTTTAGGGTTTAGGGTTTTAGGGTTTTAGGGTTTAGGGTTTAGGGTTTAGGGTTTTCCACAAACCGAAAGGGGCTGGCCATCGAGGGGGGAAGGGTCCGAACGACACCTACCAGTACCACGAAGCCGACCAAGTGGAGGTTGCCGAGCGGAAATTTGGGAGTAGATTCTTGTACACCGGACCCGCGGAAGTGAAGTGACCTGAGGTGTCCCTAAGCCCTAAACCCTAAACCCCAAGCCCCAAACCACGAACCCCGCACCCCAACCCCTGAACCCCAACTTCGATCTTTCTCAGTGGCCCTAAACCCTAAACACTGAACCCTAAACCCTAAACCCTGAACCCTAAACCCTAAACCCTAAACCCTGAACCCTGAACCCCCACTTTGCAGGCTATACCAGGTTGAAGCTCGGCCCGGCGGGCACGCCGGAGGCTGGCCCAATGAACCCCGAACCCTCGAGATCGAAAGTATCAGGGGCTTAGGGGTTGGGGTTGAGGGTTTAGGATTAAAGGGGCTTAGGGGTTTAGGGTGCTCTGCTGCTACTCCACTACTCCTACTGCTGCTGCTGCTACTTCGCTACTACTGCTACTGCTGCTGCTGCTGCTGCTGCTACTGCTACTGCTACTACTACTACTACTACTACTACAACTACAACTACAACTACAACTACAACTACAACTGCAACTGCAACTGCAACTGCAACTACAACTACAACTACACACAATCGTCTTTCTCCGTAGCGTCTTCCCGTCCGAAACTTCGAAGCCTGGTATCTCGAAAACCTGTAAACCCCATAAGGCATGTGGGTTTAGGGTTTCGGTTTAAGGGTTTAGGTCTTAGGAACCCTAAACTCTTAAGCCTTGGATGTCATCTTTTCCAGGCGGATTCGCGGCGCTTTGCCCACACCTTCGCGACCTTGGTCGCCTACATGCAGTCTCTCGCCCATGTTAGAGCTACTGACGCTTCCAAAATGGAACACCCTAAGCCTTAAACCTGCACGCTGACTGGCTTCTTGGCAAAGCAGAAGCCATGCATCCTTAACTTAGAGATGAGTTAAATACTTGAGAAGCAGAGGCATGCAACACTGCTAACGTGCTTGTTAGAGTCGTGTGTCTCTGTGTGTGTGTGTGTGTGTGTGCAAGAAGAGACAGCGAGAGCGAGAGTGAGGGAGGGAGGGAGGGAGGGGGGGTGGAGAGGATCCCGCGATGGGTAGACGAACAAGAAATGAGACAGAGAGCCAGAGAGAGAGAGAGAGAGACAGAGACAGAAATACAGACAGCAGGAAAAAGCACGTCTCGGGAGCTTCTCACTTTGCGCAAAAGAGCGACCCAGTTCGAACGCAGCATATAATCGCGAAAGAAAGCACAGAGTTTGAAGGCGTCGTATCGGGCTGCGCAGCTTGGTTTTTTCAGGGGCACGCCACCAGAGCAATGCAGCGTCCGACCTGTCGCATGAAACCCTAAACCCTAAACCCTAAACCATAAACCCTAAACCCTAAACCCTAAACCGGGTTTAAGGTATGAACCCAAAACACTAGACCCTCGACTTAGGATGTTCCCCCTTGTACTAACAGTGCTTACTCGGGATTCTAGCACCCACTGCTATACTCCCTATTAAGGGCTACGAGCATAAGGGTGAACATCCCTAAACCCTAAACCCGAAACCCTAAACCCTAAACCAGAAACCCTAAACCCTAAACCCTGAACAGGTCTGAGACAATGGAGCATGGCTTCCTGGCAGCTCGGCGGCACCTTTGCTAGGTGGCTCACTTAGGGTTTAGGGTTTAGGGTTTAGGGTTTAGGGTTTAGGGTTTAGGGTTTAGGGTTTAGGGTTTAGGGTTTAGGGTTTAGGGTTTAGGGTCTCACTTGTTGGGCCCGGCTTCTTGGGGGGTGCACCTTGAACCCAAAGCTCTCAAAAGCCCCAAAGCCCTGAGCCCTTGAAAGGCCGCCAGGCCTCCCTAGAAAAATGTGAAAGCCCTGCAAAAACTCTAAACTCCTAAACCCCCTAAACCCCCTAAAACTCCCCTAAAGAAGACCCTTCGCCCCCCCCCCCCCCCGCCCCAATTTGTTTGAAGGCCTCCTTCCTCAACGTCTTCGCGCACAACTTCGACGAGCTCTGGACCCCTGAAGGCCTGTTGAGCGTTTCGGGGTTTAGGGTTTAGGGGTTCAGGGTTTAGGGTTTAGGGGTTGAATGATGGGTTAGGGGGTAAGGCTTCAAGGGTTTTTCAAGGCTTTAGGAGATGGTCTCAGTCAGGGATTAACAACCACCCAGAGCCCTAAACCCGATCCGGGCTCTACGCTAGTCTACTACGGCGAAAGCCAGTTTATAACGCCTAATCTCAAACCAACATACGCAATTCAAGCAATATCTCTGAACCCCTACGCCCGTAAAACACCAACTAGGTACGCCAATGGGGACATTTTGTGTTTCCCTTCTTGGGTATGAGAGGACCCTATGTAAGGATCTTCTTAGAGGGTTCCATCCTAGCCCTAAACCCTAAACTAAGCCCTAAACCCTAAACCGTGAACCCTAAACCCTAAACCCTAAACCCTAAACCCTAAACCCTAAACCCTAAACCCTAAACCCTAAACCCTAAACCCTAAACCCTAAACCCTAAACCCTAAACCCTAAACCCTAAACCCTAAACCCTAAACCCTAAACCCCCTAAACCCTAAACCCTAAACCTAAACCTAAACCCTACCGAAGCCCGCAGGCCCGCCGCCGACCTCACCAAGCCTCCGGGAGCCGAGACGGGCGCTGGACGAGGGCATTCTCGGATGATGGGTTTAGATAGGGTTTAGGGTTTAGGGTTAGTTAGGGTTAGGGTTTAGGGTTTAGGTTTTTTAGGGTTTAGGGTTTGGGTTAGGGTTAGGGTTTAGGGTTTAGGGTTTAGGGTTTAGGGTTTAGGGTTAGGGTGGGTTGGGTTTAGGGTTTAGGGTTAGGGTTTAGGGTTTAGGGTTTAGGGTTAGGGTGTTAGGTTTAGGGTTCAGGGTTTAGGTTTAGGGTTTACGGTTTAGGGTTTTAGGGTTTAGGGTTTAGGGTTTAGGGTTTCGGGTTTAGGGTTTAGGGTTTAGGGTTTAGGGTTTAGGGTTTAGGGTTTAGGGTTTAGGGTTTAGGCTTCAAGGTCTAGGGTTTATGGTTTCGGGTTCAGGGTTTCAGGGTTTTGGGGTTTTAGGGTTTGGGGTTTTAGGGTTTGAGGTTTTAGGGTTTGGGGTTTGGGGTTTAGGATTGAAGCTGATGGGGTGTTGTGGTGTTGTGGTTTGCGGATTTTGCTGTTAGGGTTCCGATTATCGTGGGCATAGAGTATAGTAGGCTTTGCCTTGCTGCGATTTGCTTGCTTGCTTGCTTGCTTGCTCGTTTTAATGTTACTGCTGCTGCTGTCGCTGCCACCGGGGCCGCGACGGCTTCTGCTGCCGCTGCTGTTACTGCGTTATTGGTATGTTGCTTCTCCTCTTTGTTGTGCTTGACAGACACTTTCCACGACTTCTGGACTGCGCATCCGTTCTCCCACATCCCACCATCTCGTCCACCAACTTTTGCGTAGGGTTTCGCACCCGCCCCTCGGAAACATCGTTATTTGCAGGTGCCCTGGGCTTAGCATCCAACAGCCCTTGGTTGTGTCTTCTTGCACCGACCAATTTCTACTTGACTTACGTCGCACCAGTTCCCTGTCCCGACGGCTGCGTACCCCAATCCTTCAGAGACCATGTACTAGAGAATTCCCCAAAACCCTAAACCCTGAACCCGGACCCCTAAACCCCTAAGCCCCAAACCCCCACTCAGTTTGCAGGTCAGGTTTTGTCATCTTGGTAGCTGGGTGGAGGGGTCGACACTAACCTCTTTATGGTCAGTTCTCAAAATGGTACCTTTTAGGGTTCGGGGGCCAGGGGCCGCCTTATGATGGTAACCCCAGAAACGGACATTAATTTA